GAAACGAAATAAAGGGTAGAAAAAGCCTAAGTTTGGGTTAGAATATGTAAGGAAAGGGACGTCTGGGTGGCTCAGTCGGTTAAGCGTCCAACTTCAGCTCAGGTCATGATCTCAGAGTTTGTGGGTTCAAGCCCTGCAGCAGGCTCTCAGCTGTCAGCGCCTACTTGGAATCCTGCCACTCTCTCTGTCCCTCCCCCACTTGCACTCTCTCTCTCTCAAAAATAAATCAACATGTGGGGCGAAAAAAAGAATATGCAAGGACAAGGCAGAAGAGGTTAGGGCCAAAGAGAAGTAAAAGAGAATAAAAATGAAATAAAAGAGATGGGGAATGAAAGGAAAGGCAATTTTTAAATAGAAAAGGCAGTAGTTGCCCACAGAGCTGCCATAAAATAATGATGTGCTACATTATTAGCCTACACACTCAGCTTGCTACACACTCCTAGTGTGTAGTCATACCCCTTCGTGTCCATGGGGTAGACAACAAAAGGACTGCACCATTTTTGTGGCCCCAGGGGACACCCATGTCTCTGGGGCTACCTTCAAAGATGATTCAAAGACCCACGGTTGTATACAGCCACTTTATCACAGATCAGCTAACACTGAGGTATTAGCAATGCTAATAAGCACATTACATACAGTATCTCACTGATCCTCCCCACAAACCCATGAGCTAAATGTTATTAATATCTTTATTTTAGAAACCTAGAAATAACCAATTCAGGCAGTGATTAATTTCTGTGCATTTGCCTACCCTTAGCAAAATTATGAGAAAATGAGGGTGGGCAGGGAAGAACGACAGTATTTTCTTAACACCTAGAATATGCCAGGCACCTCACCTCACTCACTGCTTACTAAATCTTACAAGCGAAGAACAGAGTACAAAGTGATTGAAACATGAATGTGAAACAGACTCTGAACCTGTCCTGGACAGCGTGAATTTAAAAGCCCAGGTCTTCCCTCCATAGGCTTTGGAACAATTGGGACAGTTGAGGGTCCTCTAGGGGTTAGCGTGAAGGATAGACCCAGCTTCCCAGGCCTGTCACTTTCACTTGCGAGCTAGCCCAGACTCCGTGGACTGGACAAGTAATGATGTCAAAGGGACCTGGGGCACGCTGAGACTGTACAGCCTATTCCAGTAAACTTCACCACTGGCAAATGCCTTTCATCCAAAACCACTAAACACTTCACATGCCAGGCTTTGTGTCGGGCACTAGGATTACAGAAATGAAATCTGTTCTCTGCACTCAGGGAGTGGACAGTCTAATGGGAAGGCATATCCTGGAAGGGCATATTCCTGGCCATTAACAGAAAACATATAAGCATATGATACCCACTCAGAACTACTGAGTGCCACTATGTACAAAGCACTTGTGCTTTCACAGAGCAAACCTAGCCCATTTTACTATATAGTTATTTCTAGCTCCTTCGATTATCAAATTATTAGATTTGAAGATGGAGGGTTCAGCATAAGTTGTAGTTCAAGAGTTGGCAAGGAGAAAGTAGTCACCTGAAAAGCTGCACATTTTCCTATCAGTCTATCCATATGTTTCCCCCTCCCGCCGTCATTTCAACTCCTGCTGCACACATATTGGGCATCAGGCAAATTTTTGCTGAGTGAATGATCATACCGCTCGAAAGGAATTACATAAACTCAAATACAGAATAAAGAAGCAATGACGGTTTTGTCACGACCATGATTTCAGAAAGTGAGAGACTGGCAGAGATGGAATATATTGGACCAGTGCATGAGGGGCAACTGTCACAAGCCATAGTCCACTACCTCTCACCATCAATGAGGAAACATGTAGAGCACTAAGGACAAGGCTCATTTGGTAGATCCAGCTTGGATGGCCTGGAACGATGGGAGCAAACCTTCAGCTCAGGCACTATGGTAAGACACTTACTGCTTGTATGCCTTCTGGCAGACTCTACAGCAGCTAGGGACTGAATTCCCCACGACACTTGTGAGCCTATGTGTTGACATGGATTTCCCCATTCCACTGTAGGGAAAAAAATATAAGCCCTTTCTCTGAGTAGGAAAATGAACAGAAGAGTCTTCTCTTTAGTTAAAAAGGAACTATGAAACAAATCACTTAAATAAGAATGCTTTATTTAATCAGGTGCAGAATTCTTTTTGCTGGCAAAACAAATAAGGAATACAGAATATTTATTTCTTGGGGAGCTAAATAAAAAACCCATTTGCTGATTAATGAAATTGAGATACAGGCATCAAATATGATTAAATTTACTAGTATGTTCTCATAAGTAACAAATCTCTCCTCTGTGTTCCTAGTTTTCAATCAAAAGAGATAAGGATTCTTGCTAAATTGTTTTCTTCATGGAGGAGACCCCATCTTAATTCATCTAAAATGTGAACATCTATGTTTCTATACACACTGAGGTTTGTGAAATAGGTTTTATGTACTTGTGGGCACTCATAAAACAGAGTCAATGATGCTAACAGGACATAAACTGTACCTGTTAATGTCTTCAGACACAAATTAACTTACATTGAACTTGCTATATTGTTCTTTCCTGACTTACGCTGAATCCTTTGCTTCAAGAACAACAAAAATATTCAGTACGTCGAATCACATAAAAGCGTTCTTCAAAAGTCTGCAAAATTGAAACACTCTACAGTCTTGTGCTTTTACAAATCCTTATTCATCAGGGTTCCTGAGGTTGGTCATTAAGAATTCACAAGTAGGATAGGTACGGCTTACACTGCTACTTCTGAAAATGTGTGGAGGACATTTTTCTATTTATTTCAATTAATAATAACTAATTCCCATGTATTTAGACCTCGTTAATATTTTAAGCACTGTGCTAGCTGCTTTGCAAACATTTACTTAATCCTTCCAGAAACCCTGCAAGGCAGGCATGACCTCTGCTCTACAGATGAGGACGCAGGTTAGGAGTGGTTACTGGCCACACACAATGTAATGGATGACTGGGTACCACTCCAACAGCTACTGCCTTGCAATTGGATTTCGGCCTCAACAGCAAATGCCCAAATTTAACTCTCAAACGTTAATCACACTTTTAGTTGTCTGTGGTAAAATACTGTAAACACTTGCCCTCAGATATTAGAGTTTAAGACAATTTGGACAATACTGCCTAACATACAAAGGTGAAAAGATGCTTAGATGAGGATCATATAAAAGCCAATGATACTTAATGTTCTCCCCCTTCTTGAAAGCAGAAAAATCACCCCAAATGCTTCTTAAGTCTTTTGTTAACTTTTGCTTTATTTTTTAATCTTGTCACAATGGGAAAAGACTTAATGGACTCCCCAGTATCAGGCATACTACCACAATCACGAAAGAAGAAAGAATCCCCATGCAATTCCGTTACCTACCAGCTACAGCCTTCCGCATTTGCAGCAGCTCTAACTGGCCTCTTCTGGCTCCACATTCCTAATTTGTATCTCTATAGACAGTCTTCATAAGATATATTTTGAATCTAAAAATGAGACCAGAAATCCTGACCAACTTAGGAGTCCTGACTTTCTACTCCTTGAACTGGCAGTAAAAAAAAAAAAAAAAATAGGGGTCAGGAGCATAAAAAATAACTTATTACTTTACAAAACATCATTTCCATTGGACAGGCGAACAGGGAGGATCCATACATCCCATAAGTCAAGAGGCAAAAGAAAACTGTCAAGACTGGAAGTAAGGAATCTCGGTCTCCAATGGCACACTGTCCCTGCACATTGGCTCAGATTCAGGGGGTTAAATATTAGAAAAAGAACCCAGTTTCTGATCTAACCAGGAATTACATAATGAGAAAACTGAAGGGAAAAGACTATTTGTCAAAAATCTTTTTTCATTTTTGTTTAAAGTTCATTATTTCTGCAAGAGACAGAGACATCACAAGTGGGGATGGGGGCACAGAGAGAGGGAGAGAGAGAGAATTCCAAGCAGGCTCCACACGGTAAGCGTAGAGCTCAGTGTGGGGCTCGAACTCACCAAACTGTGAGATCATGACCTGAGCCAAAACCAAGAGTTGGACACTTAACCAACACAGCCACCCAGGTGTCCCTATTTGCCCAAAGTTTATTAACAAAATTCAAGAATTCTACCTCTTAATCTGGTTTTGGCCAAGACAACAGGATCGTATCACTGGATTACCAAGATGGTTGAACAGAAGACATACAAGCATTAGAATGGCCAATCTCTAGACAGAGTGCCTTAAAAACTCTATCCCATTTCTAGTCTATGTTGCAATTCCTTTGGAGCAGAAACCTCATAGCACATTTCCTACAGTCTCATAGGAAATCTTCATGAGTCTGTGAAGAATGATAATCTTGAAAGAACAAACTCTATATGATATTCAATACAGCAGCCACCAGTCACATGTGGCTACTGAGTGCTTGGCACGTAGTTAGTGCCACTAAGGAACCAGATTTTAAATGTCATTTAATCTTACTACAAATTTATTTAAATAGCCACAGGTGACTAGTGGCTACGGGATTAGCCGGTGTAGTTCTAAATACTATGAAAGTTCATTTTCAGCAAATAAAAATGTGTTTAGAAAACTGAGTCTTTTCTTAAGACCCACCAGAACAGCCAGAGAATCACATTATTTGTTCAAAACGAATCTTTCTGTGGATAACTCCCTGAGGCCAATAATGAATTACTGCCACCCACTCAAGCAAGAGGAAATAGGGAAATTCAAGGGCTAGCTTGGCTTCAAGCACTCAGGTGTCCTTATTCCCGGAATTTCTCTTTATGTTTTCTTTGAAGCTATTCCAATCTTACCTTAAATCAAAAAACATTTCTTCTCCATCGTTGGAAGCATCTCCCACTGGGCAGATACAATGAGCTGGTGATCGGGGCCTTCCCATCCTCCAACCTGGGAGCTTGACTTTTTCCAGACATTATGGCAAACAAACCAAAGAAACTCTGTAGCAACACCTTAACTGTAATGATCCAGCAAGAAAAGAAATAATAATAATAATAATAATAATAATAATAATAATAATAAACGGGCTTTGGGACTCAGGAGGAAGATGGACGTGGGACTGAAAAGGAAGAGATGAGGGCCATTTCCCCTGGACAGTTTTTCCAAGTCCACCCAGGAGGAAAATCATTGACTTCAGGAGACTCGAAAGACTTTTCTAGGTGCATCTTCCGATGCTGAGTGAGATAGGCACTTCTGCTGAAGCACTTGTCACAGTCGGTGCATTTGTAAGGTTTCTCTCCCACGTGAGTCCTCCGGTGCCTGATGAGATTAAAGCTCTGGCTGAAGCCCTCGCCACAGTCGGGACACTTATAAGGTCTCTCTCCCGTGTGTGTCCTCTGGTGAATCACCAGGGTGGAACTCTGACTGAAAGTTTTCCAACACTCCGAACACCTGTACGGCTTCTCTCCTGTGTGTGTTCTCTGGTGTCTAATGAGATGGGAGCTGAGACCGAAACGCTTTCCGCACTCACAACACTTGTAGGGTTTCTCCCCAGGCTGGAGTCCACACTCTTCTATCGCACTGCAGTTCCGACTCAAACTTTCTTCATATTCGGGACTTTCACAGGGCTTCTCTCCTGCGTGTGTTTTCCGGTGTGCGATTAGGTTCGAACTTCGACTGAAGCTCTTGCCGCATTCTGTACATTGATACGGTTTTTCTCCTGTGTGAATCCTCTGGTGCTTTATGAGAGTCGAATTACAACCGAAGCTTTTCCCGCACTCGAGACATTTGTAGGGCTTCTCTCCCGTGTGTGTCCGCTGGTGGCGAATCAGGCTAGAACTCTGACTAAAACTCTTTCCACAGTCAGGACACGTATAAGGTTTTTCTCCCGTGTGAATCCTCTGATGTTCTATGAGGACATAGCTGTGGCTGAAGCATTTCCCACACACGGGACATTCGTAGGGCTTCTCGCCGGTATGCGACCTGTGGTGCTGAATAAGGTGGGAGCTGCTACTAAAGCTCTTCCCACACTCAGGACATTTATAGGGTTTCTCTCCCGTGTGAGTCCTCTCGTGAATGATTAGATGGGAGGTATTGCTGAAGCTTTTCCCACACTCGCCACACTGGTAGGGCTTCTCTCCTGTGTGTGTTCTCAGGTGCTGAATCAGGTGAGAGCTGTTACTGAAGCATTTCCCACACTCAGAACATTTATAAGGTTTTTCTCCTGAGTGGGTCCTCTGGTGAATACGCAAATGAGAGCTGTTATTGAAGCTTTTCCAACATTCAGCACACTTGTAGGGTTTGTCCCTGGAGGTCGAATTCTGCTGGACAGAGGCACTGCGGCGTTCCCCGGCAGCCCATCCCCAGTGACTGGGTTTTTCTTCTTCTTCTCCTGCAGAATTTCCCTGATTCTCTGACTTGCCATCCTTCTCATAGGAATCACTGCACCAGATCTCATTGCCTTGGGACCACATCAATGGACTTTCTTCTATATCCTCATGCTTACAATTTTGTGGGCCATCTCTCTTAGACCGTTTTGAGGCGCTCTCTTTATCTGCCTTGGAGTTGTGTTGTACAGCTTCCAAATGATTCTTACTTGCATCTCCTGTAAGAATAAACAAATATTCTAAACATATTCCCTAATCTCTACCAGAGGAAGGAAATTCTGAAATGCAATGGAAGAGAGAGAATAACAAAGTAAAATCTCATAAATTCTTTTACATTAAAAAAAAAAAAGTTTTCAAAGCTAGTTTTACTTCAAGTGCTCATTAGAAGCAGGTGAATTTTCTGTGCTCAGTAACAGCACTAATGAAGTATTTAGTTGTCAGTAATTGCCAAGGGGGATATTCATCTTAAAAAAAAAAAAAACACCTCATTAAGCTTCATTCTGGAAGACTTACAAGAAAAAAGGGGATCTGAATAGGGGAGAAACTGAATAGGACACATTCTAAGGTGAAAACAATACTTTAGTTAAAATCTGAGAAAATACAGAAATAACAATGGTACCTGCTATTTATTAAGAACAACCGTGTGCCATATAGTATCTCATTAATCCCAAGAAACCATGAGACAAGATATTATGCATTTTTCTTCAAGATGAGAAAAGAGAGGCTGTAAAGGTTAACATAGCTTGTAAGCAACAGAACAGGAATCAAACTAAAGTCTGTCCCATGCAAATGCCCTGGTTCTTTCTACACACTCTATGGCACAACTTCTCTGAATTTCCAATGGATTCGGATAATCTTCTCAATCCCTCACCTGGAAAAGGGCTTTTCAAACTCTCCCTCTCCGTGAAGCCACTAGAATCTGAGATCAACAGTTTTTGCTCTTGCTCCATCAGTGGTGGGCACGGCCAAGTTAGGGGTCAGAAATCCTGTGGAAGGGAAACAGGTTATGTTTGCAGGCCTTTGCTGTAACGTACTCTTCCTTGCTTCCCAACCATTGCAATATACCAATTGTGCTTACAGACTGTTCTGTGGACCAGACTGAGAAAAACAACATGGTCTTTAGAAGTCCTTTTAGAAAAATTTCACCTCAGATGCAAGTGTTTAGAATTAAGGGTTAACCCAATTTACTTTTTCCGAGGGGGAAAAAAAAAAAAAAAAAAGTTAAATCACGTTAAAGTCTAAGTCTGAGCATCAAGCTTCAAAACTAGAATGAATACTAATACTCACTGTCCACTCAGGGTTTAGAAACACTTTTAATTGAAAACACAAAGTAGTTTTTTTGGAAAAGGTAACAAGACTTCAAAAAATCAATATGCAGGTATAAGGAACAGTTAAAGAGAAAGTACTCTGTTTAGAAAGAAGCTGGCCCTTGACAGAAGGATGGAACCTTTGAAGTTCAATTTCAAAAGAATGAATTCCTATAACCAGTAAAAATAAATAAATAAAATCAAATAAGTTGGGACAAAGGAGGGCTAGAAAAATTATAGCCAATAACCCCTAAATACAAAAGGGAAGCTAATGAATTCTTCCGTGACTCACTTTCTCAGTCTATCATAATCGCAATATCCCTTTTAGCCTAAACTTTATCTCCTGGAGCCAACTACAATTCTTGACCTACTTTAAGAGACTGGAAAATGTGATCTATCACTGGAAGACAGGTTTAGATGGGCTTGGAATCCATTTCAGGATATAAACAACAGCACAATTCAGGAAAAACAAGAGCCTAGAATCGGGATGCACAAAGGCACACCTACGGAAAACAAAAAAATGGTATTAATTTTCACCTTGCCACTGCCTATTATGTGCCAGGCACCGAGCTAAATACTTTACACATAATATTTCTCATGTAATTTCCACAATAGCCCTTGGAGGTGTATGAACAATTACCAGCATGTTATTATAGGTGAACAAAAAAGACATTAACAGACTTTCCCAAGGTCACACAACGAGTAAGTGGTCGAGTAGGATTCAGCCCCAAGCCTGTTGGGGTAAGTTCACACTCGTTTACCTATTACAATAAAACTAGAGCAGGAAGCAGAGCTAGGTGTGATCCCAAACTACAATCTCAAAGAGGACCTTTATTTTGGAAAACACTGTGTTTGGGTTTTTTTTAGATTTATATCTCTAGACATGATACCAAACAGAGGAGCATTCTCTAAGCGTCCTCAGCAACCAGGGATTTGTTACAGGAAGAGGTGAAACTAGTCTGAATTACAAACAGCCCTAGCGTTTGAGTAGGGGAGGGGGGCACCCCATACACCTAAAAGGAAAAATTGTTCAAATGGAGTAGTATGTTTTGCTGAGTTACAGATTTCCACCAAGGTCTTTACAAACGAAGTAAGCGGCTGGGGAACAGAAACCCGTGCACCATTTTCCCTAAGAAACTATTAACTCTGGTAGTAGGGGCCCCCAGCACTGGCTCAGCAAAACGGTAGCAAATGGTATACAGGGAGGGGCACCTGGGTGGCTCAGTCGGTTAAGCAAACGGTCTACAGGCCAGAAATGGTATTACAAGGCTGTCCCTTAGATGTCACGCCACAGAGAAGGGCTGTTTGCAGTGTCCTAGAAGCAGAGGGGCTTAGGATGGGGCCATGCTTTAGATTAGAATATCTTCCAAAGAAAACGCACTGCCTGCAGCTTAGCTTTAAGAACCGTTGGCAAGGGGCAGACGCTGGGTGCACTGTGGGATGAAGTTCCAGGAGGCCAGATCAACAAGCTCCTTTAAGGGACCCGGCAGGCGAGGGAGGCGAGGGCGGCGCGGTGGCCGGTGCGGCGGGGAGACGCTGGGCCTCGGCCCCTCGCAGCCGCGGGATCCCTCTCCGGGCGTACACTGCAGCCAGGGTGCTGCAGTGGCCACTCCTCCTGCCCGCAGCCCTCGGCTCCCTACCCCCGGGGAGGAACTCACTGTTCTGGGGGCCACACACAAGGCGCCCAGCACCCCCAGCAGGCCCAGCTGTCCCGGAGCAAGTAGCCCCCAGCTCCTCCTGACCCCACCAACCCAGGGTCCTAAACTCTCGAGCCCGGAAGACAGAAACAGGAAGTTACCCTAGCCCCCTCCCCCCCCCGGCCGGCTTTGCGGGAGCCTCTCTAGGAACTAGGGATGACCAGCTCTCGTTGGTCTTAACGCTTAAGGTCCCGGCCCAGAAGGGGCGTGCTGGTGGATTTCCTTCCCTCAAGCTATCCTTTGTTTGCTTGATTCTCAAACCTCACACTTGTCAGGCGCCTTATAATAGGGGGTCCCATCGGAACGAATTCTTTCCCTTCAGGGCATCATTGGGTTTATCATCATCAGAAGAAAAATGAATGGAGCATTTATTAAGCTCCTGTTGTTTTTGTTGGCACAGGGATATATATATACATATAGCCACCTGTGAAACACTTGGACAGCTGGGGCATCCACCCACATATAAAACAATTAGTTTACAAGGCACCGCTATTAATAACCCTCGGAGAAGCACCTAGACCCTAGTATTCCATTACAGAGAAAATGGAAGGCAGTCCCTGCATCTCCCCCATTCAAGCCTACAAATCTACTTATGTCTGCGCCCCAGGCCACTCTCTTTCTTCCCTCCTGTTACAACAGTGGATTCGTCCTTCACATTTAAAAGGAGCCCTTTACTGCTACTCACTTTCCTTCCTGCCTTCTTGAAGTCCTTACACTATCAACTAACCTCTCAATTCTACCACTTCCATCCCAAAATAGTTCTTCGGCTTTTTTTTTTTTTTCCTT